CGTCCCTCTCGCGGGCCCTCCGGGGGAGACAGCCGCGGGGGCGCAGCCGCACCTGCCGGGGTGCCCTCCCTCACCCCGCTGGCCGCGCAGAGTTTGAAGAAGCCCGGAGCTGGGTGTCCGAGAAGCTGCACTTCCGCAAGGACGTGGACGTCAACCTGTTCGAGAGCACCATCCGCATCCTGGGGGGGCTGCTGAGCGCCTACCACCTGTCCGGGGACGCCCTCTTCCTGCGCAAAGCCGTGAGTGCCGGCGGCGCCTCTAGCTGCCCGCGGGCCGGGCGGGCGGCGGCACGCGCCAGGCCCCACGGCCCCCGTCTGCCCCCGCTAGGAGGATTTCGGGAACCGGCTGCTGCCCGCCTTCCAGACGCCCTCCAAGATCCCGTACTCGGACGTGAACATCGGCACGGGCGTGGCCCACCCGCCCCGCTGGACCTCGGACAGCACGGTGGCCGAGGTGACGAGCATCCAGCTGGAGTTCCGGGAGCTGTCCCGGCTCACCGGGCTGCCGAAGTTCCGGGTAGGCTGCCGAGGCGGCCTCTCGCTGGACGCCCCCTCGGGGCCGCGCTGCGGTCAGCTGCCTGGGCGTCCAGGGTGTCGCAGCACCGTCCATCAGGCACCTTCTAGGGAGGCCCCGCCCTGGGCCAGGCCCATGGTGTGGCGGCTTCTCGCAGGGGCAGGGACCCTGTAGCCCTGGCGTGCGACGGCCGCTCCGGCGGGAGCAGCGACACCCCGGCCCTGAGGCCGCGGCCGAGCGCGGTGCTGGTCGCCCGTCTGGGGCCCTCGGGGGCGCGAGGTGGACCGCACAGCTCGGTGTCCCGGGCAGGGGCCTGGGGCGCGACTCTGGCCGCTCCAGCTCTTCCTCCTGTGGTGACACCAGGTGTGACCCGCCCCGCTGGGGTGCAGAGGCGCTGTCGGGATGGCCGGGGCCTGGGCGGGGCCGGCGGCACCGCGGGGCGGACAGGGCGCTCGGCGCGGGCCCCCTGGGCACACTGGCTGTCTGCCGAGCCTTGCGCTAGCCCCCCTCGTTTTTAGCCCCCTGGACGTGCGTTCACGTCAGCGCCGGCTGACCCTGTGCTGTGCTTGACCCGGGGCCTACGCCGGGCCCAGCCCGGGCAGGGCGGGCTCCCCGCCGCTCTCCTGCCCCGCCAGGCGCCAGGCTCCCGAGACGCACCCGCCCCCTCCTCCCACGGACCAGAGGGCACCGGCCTGAGGTCAGCCTTTGCCCCCACGGTGTCCTGAGGCCTGTCCTGGGCAGGGTGCGGGCCCAGCCCTCCATGTCCCCATCCTCCTCCTCCCCCTGGCCCTCCTCACCTCCCCCCTCCCCCTCCTCCTCCTGGTCCTGCCCCTCAGCCTCCCCCTCCCTCGGGCCTCCCCCTCCCCT